GGGTGGGGGCGGTGGTCTCCCTTTGGGGGGATGGGGGGCGGCGTCGTGGGAACGGGGAGAAGGGAGGGATGGGGGGCAGGGTGCTGTAAAGAGACCGGGGACGACGGGGTATTCAAAGCGAGGCAGAGAGAAGGGGAGGGTGGGCTGGCGCAATGGTTCGAATCTTTTCTTGTCCAGGACTGTGTACCAAGGGAAGCCCGGTCATGCACCTTCATAAGAGAAAGGTGCGCTCTTCAGTGCAAGCACTAGGACAGGCTACCGACGGCACAGGCTACCATCGGTAGGCACGCCCAGCTCCGCCCGCGTGCTGAGCTGCTGGGAGGAATCAGCAGGCCACGCGCCCGCCCACCTGACCGACCCCGTGGCCGCCACGGGGTACATCCTCATGGTCTCATCGATGACGGCGTTGAGGTACGGCAGGCGGGACAGGTCCTCGTACGTCAGCTGCCTGGCGGGAGAGGGATGAGTGTGTGCGTGCGTGCACGCGCGCTCGCACTGTTCCTCGGCTGTGCGCGAATGAAGTTACAAGGCTCGTTACTCATGTCACGCCGGAACCCGTTGGTGGGGCGTACAGTCTGCACAACACCTGCAGCTTGACTGATGGGCTCCTGCCTGGTTGGATTGCTGCGCATCAGGGCACTTGCTGAGCAAAGGTGTGAGGCTGACACCTAGCCCCCAGGGCCGTATCTCTATTGGATGGGCAAGGGATGGCGAGTACCCATCCCTCGCGGCGCACCTGGGCGTGACGCAGTTGGGCTGCCCCGCGTGCAGCAGCCCCGCGCTGCCCAGCTCCCCCTTGATGCGGCGCTGGATTTCGGGGCTGGCGGCCACGTTGAAACTGAAGCGAGTTTAGTGTCAAAAGTGTGGGTCGGGGGGGTGCAAGAGAGCCTGCTTGTGGGTTGGCGGACGAACCTCTTCCAAAACAAGGGAGGACGAAGCAGCTAATGCAATGTTTTCATACAAATGCATTGCGCTCAGATAATGTGGCAGTCACAGTGTGCAAGGAGCTGGCAGGTGAGCGGGCACCAATGCGCCACATGTGCACGCATTGCCCCTGAACTCACAGGCACCAGGCGATGGTGTGGCTGGAGGTGTCGAAGCCGGCCAGGATGAAGGCGCCGATCTCGGGCAGCAGCTGCTCCTTGGACAGCGGCTTGCCTTGGGAGGGTCCGAGGTTGGGGTGTGGAGGTGGTGAGGCACGCCGGGGCTGCAGCATCGGCCCACCCTCACCACCTGACCCTGAACGTTTTGCGCCTGCCCTGGGGCACACTGATGGTGGTTCAGATCACCCCCCCCCCCGGCGGCCCGCTTTCCTCGAATCCAACTCTTCCCACAAAAAGGCCAGCAGCTAGGCCCTTCAATGAGTGCAGAGGGAGTGAAACCGTCTCACAAAGCGCTCCTATGTACGGGCCCCCAGAGCACCACCCAAGCAAGCCCTCGCGAGCAGGGGCCGCCCCCTCCTCCTCCTCACCCGTCTTTGGGTCCTTGAGGCGCGCCAGGCAGGCCCACAGCACGCTCTCATCCTCTGGCGGCACCCCCCTGGCCCGTATGGTGTCGTAGATCTTCTCGTAGAGGGAGCCCAGGACCCTCTGGGACCGCCACACGGCGCGGGACCACTGGGGAGTGTGTGTAGAGGAGGATTGGCATCAGGACCGTAATTTGGTTCAGGACGGTTGATGACGGGCCGGGTGTGTGTTAGATGCAGGGGCCTTTGAGGGCGGAGGGGGCGGCAGTGTGCATGGCCGCGCTTTGGGCGTGTTTCTGATGGGGCCCACCCTGCTTGCCCCTACTCCAATCTGAGGCCCCATATCGCCAGGCGTACGATCGACGACTCCTTTCTTTTATGGAAAATGCCACCACACTTACGCGCCCTTCATCCCTTGAACCCCAAGTGCAACAGCCGAAACGCTCCCTGAACCCCTGACCCCACCACGCCCACATGCCCAACCAGTCACCACCCCAGCCACCCACCCTCCCATTCACCCACCCATCCGCCCACCCAACCACCCCACCCGCCCACGCACCCTGGGCCTGACCAGGGGGTTGACCACCTTGCGCAGCGGCATCTTGATCCTCTCATTGGCCTCCTCCAGCACCAGGTTCACCGCGTGGCCCACCTGCGGCATTTTTGGGTCGGTTGAGGGCGGAAAGAGTGCGGGTTTTGTTTTGAGATTCCCCCGTGGATGGGGTTGGGATGGGCGGTTGAGAGCGGTTTATGGGTGTACTGATTTCTCCGGGACGGCATTTCGGTGCGTGTTAAAGTGCTGGGTTGAGAAATGGTGAGTCCGCACACATGACGCAAACTAGTGCGTGATGGTGGCGCCTGGACCATTCAGCTAGCAGAACTGCGCGGCGGCTTGGTGCGGGGCAGGCGGGCGGCCGCTGCAAAAGGCGGCCGGCGGGTGCTAGAGAGCTGCCCCACCCCGCATGCGCCCTGTAAAGCCTTCCGATCTCCCTCAAATGCAGGGATAAGCCCAAGTTTTTCATTCTTTCTTTGTGCTGATTGTAATAGATAAGCCCGCTTTTTCCAGTGTCCCACCTCCTCGCTGTTGACCCGCCGCAGGTCCATCTCAAAGAGGCCCTCCAGGAACACGTCAAGCAGCATCATCTCCACCTGTGGAAGATCAGGGGCCAGCGGCGGGTGGCGACTGGCAGATTGTTGTTCAACAAGCTATAAGAACCTTGCTGTCTTCCGTCCTCTAGGGTTGAGGAGCAGCGGCAGTCAGCAGGTCGTGATGTGAGCAGTGCTGGTGTGATAAGAGCATGCAGGCCGCATTTGCACAACAGGGGAGCTGGTGCCCTATCAGTGGTGAATCTTGGTGCGGGGTGCCAGCAGCGATGCCCCACCAAAAGGTGGTCTCAAACGAATTTTCAGATCTGCAACACGCGCAGGAGCAGGCCCTGCAGCACTGACTAAGCACACACGCCCTGACCAGCTATGACGCCCACGCACACTCACGTGGATGCGAGCGCGCATGCCCGCGTGCGTCCGCTCAAACACAGGACCTACCTACACGCCCACGCCCACGCACACGCACACGCACACGCGCACGCCCACGCACACGCACACGCACACGCACACGCACACGCACACGCTCATGCACCCGCACACGCACACGCACCCGCACACGCACCCGCACACGC